GTGTGTGTGTGTGTGTGTGTGTGTGTGTGTGTGTGTGTGTGTGTGTGTGTGCGTGCGTGCAGAGAAACTAGAAGAGGCCTGCAAATGAGCCAGCCAACAGGGGCCATTCTGTATAACTGAGACCCTGTCACTAACCAGGCTGATATTGCCTCCATCCATTGCTCTACCTTTCTTGGCAATAAGGTCTCTACCTGTTGCTGTTGCAGAAACATGCTAATGTTCCTGCTCTTGCCTTTTTTGCAACCAGCTGGTTAGTAGGAAGTTTACCAGATCTGACTCCTGCTGTATCTGTTTGTTGTTAGGCTGCCCATGCTGTGTTTATAAAAAAATATTACGTTTCCAATTTGGGCATAGATGTTATTGTATTTCAGAGCCTTACTCTAAAATGTTCCAGCAGGTGGCAAAAGATAGAATGTTGCAAAAGGGGTTCTCATAGTAGCCCTTGGCTGATGTTTAAAATCATGTAACAGGGCTTTTTGTCTTCTGATTTCTATTTGGATTAAAAAACAAACAAACAAACAACAACAACAACAACAAAAAAAAAAACTCTCCACTGTGGCAGCTGCCCTACTGAGTAGAAGCAGGCCATAGGGTGTTTCTCACTATGCTCTGCCTTCTTCTACTCTACTGTTGGCATCAGCCTCACTGACAAGAGAGCTGAATGAAGTTCAAATTCTGCCTACCACTTACTAGTGGTATACTTTTGAGCAAAGTACCTATCCTCTGTAGCCCTTGTTTTACCTCAGAGGTTCTTGCGTAAGGAGGTAAATGAGGTCTTGTTTGTAGGACACTTTGTGCTGGTGTGCATGAGACATTTGATTGTTGTAAGCAAGAGCACAGTGAAACTACTGCACTGGACCACTGTGTGGGCAAGAAGAAAGGGTTATTTGGGGGAAATTCACAACTGCCATGGCTGTCCCGCAGGAGACAGAGAAAATAGCAAAAGGAAATGTGCAAGCCGGAATAGCTTAGGAGCTGGCATGGGGACATTGGCGGGTGTTACTAGGGAATGGATGCCCCATTGCTGGAGATATTCAGCTGTAGGGAGATAAGGGAAGCAGTGACAAACAGAAACCTGCTTCACAAGTTTATGAGGGATACTGATTTCAGGCTTTTGTTTATCCAAGAGCCGTCTTTCTGTTTACTTAGTCTGACTCCAGCCTGAGCTGAGCCCAG